GGGCGGCTGGGGCAGATGTCCCCGCCCCCCCTCCCCACTTCGGAACAGCTTTCCGAAGTGGGGCGGCTGGGGCAGGTGTCCCCGCCCCCCTCCCCACTTCGGAACAGCTTTCCGAAGTGGGGCGGCTGGGGCAGGTGTCCCCGCCCCCCTCCCCACTTCGGAACAGCTTTCCGAAGTGGGGCGGCTGGGGCAGGTGTCCCCACCCCCCCCTTCGGAACAGCGTTTTAAAATGCTGGGGGTCGGGAGCGAAGCGCTCCCGACCCCCAGCATTTTAAAACCTCCCCGGGACACGGGGAGATTTTAAAATGCTGGGGGTCGGCAGCGCTTCGCTCCCGACCCCCAGCATTTTAAAACCTTCCCGGGACACGGGGAGATTTTAAAATGCTGCGGGTCGGCAGCGCTTCGCTCCCGACCCCCAGCATTTTAAAACCTTCCCGGGACACGGGGAGATTTTAAAATGCAGGGGGTCGGCAGCGCTTCGCTCCCGACCCCCAGCATTTTAAAACCTCCCCGGGACAGGGGGAGATTTTAAAATGCTGGGGGTCAGCAGCTAACGCTTCGCTCCCGACCCCCAGCATTTTAAAATCTCCCCGGGACAGGGGGAGATTTTAAAATGCTGGGGGTCAGCAGCTAACGCTTCGCTCCCGACCCCCAGCATTTTAAAATCTCCCCGGGACAGAGACTTCTCTGCTGTCCCTTGGAGATTTTAAAATGCTGGGGGTCGGCAGCGAACGCATCGCTCCCGCCCGCCAGCATTTTAAGATCGCCCCGGGCAGGCGGGGGGAAGGCAGGCGGCGGGGAGCAAAGACTTTTGCCCCCCGCCGGCCTTCAGAAGAGGTCCTCTTCTGAAGGCCGGCTGTGGGCGAAAGTCTTTGCTCCCGACCGCCAGCATTTCCCTATGGGCTTTCGTCTTGCAATGCAAGCCCATAGGGAAATTCGTCTTGCGAAGCGCCTCCAAAACAGAAAACCCTTTCGTCTTGCGGGTTTTCCGTCTTGCGAGGCATTCGTCTTGCGGGGTACCACTGTATTAGATTTCTATACCACCCTTCATCACAAGATCTCAGGGCAGTTGACAAGGTAAAAATACAAGGTAAAGCACAAATAAATAGTTGAAACAAAAACAACAAAACAATAACACACACACCCTCCCACAAACACATTTAAAAGGCCATAGAATATTACTTAATCAGTCAGAGGCCTGGCTGAAGAGGAATGTTTTCACCTGGCATCTGAAAGTATACAGTGAAACCTCTGCTGTCGAACGTAATCTGTTCCAGAAGTCTGTTCGACTTCCAAAATGTTTGAAAACCGAGGATCAAAGGGCTGTCAGCAAGTTCAAGGGTGTGTGTGAAAAACTCACCTCATAAGCTGTTCAACTTCCAAGGCACGTTAGAAAACGGAAGCATTCACTTCTGGGTTTTTGGCGTTTGGCTTCTGAAACGTTCAGCAGCCAAACGTGCGGAAACCGAGGTTTGACTGTATAGTGGTACCTCTGGTTGCGAACAGAATCTGTTCCGGAGGCCCGTTTGCAACATGAAAAGAACGCAATCCGCATCGGCGTGTCTGCGCACGTGCAGGTTGTGATTTGCCACTTCTGCACATGCACGTGATGTCATTTTGCATGTCTGTGCGAGCGGCGAAACCCGGAAGAAACCTTTCTGGTACTTCCGGGTCGCCATAGGACATATCCTGAAAGAACATAATATGAAGCAGATGTAACATGAGGCATGACTGTATAATAAAGGCACCAGGCAAACCTTCCTGGGGAGAGTCACAGCAGAAAAGGCCCGTTCTCATGTTGCCACCCTCCAGAGCTCATGCGAAGGAGGCACACGAAGAAGAAAGGCCTCAGCTACAGTTCCTTAATTCCCATAGACCAAGAGAGCAACAAGATGTGAACCTGAAAGTGCTGGGGTGAGGAATTGAATCTGCCCACCTGACTCCTGAGGTCCTTCAACTCCCACTGCTTTGATGGAAGTGTGGGGCTCCCTGCCTGTGTGTCATACGACATAAAGGCAAGGGAAGAGAGCTTGCAGCTGCTGCTGCTGATCAGCAGAGGTGGAAAGCCCCACTTCCTTTGCCTACACAGTTTGATTTCAGACCACATGGGCAAAGGAAGCATTTCCTGCTGAGTAGCAGCAGCTGCAAACCTGTCTTCCTTTCCCCTGTACAATTTGATTCCATAGCCTACTGCAAAGGCAAAGAAAGCATTTTCCTTCAAGGCTTGCAATAAACGCCATTCAGCTGATTGGTGCTGACAGCAAGACCTGTAGGGATTGATTGACTGTAACCAATCCCTGCTCAAAGGGGACCCATGATAGCAAGCCGCACTTTGGACAGGGATTGGTTGCTTTCATTCAATAATTGTGGGGTTTGCTGATTGGTGCTGGCTGCAAACCTTACTTGCCAAGGAACCATTTCAGCAAACTTGAACGCTTCCTCTTGTTACAGCTGTGTCACATACGATGTCAGTTGTGGGGTGGGGTGGGGTGGTTTGGGGAGACTACGGCCCCGGCAAGGCCATATTTGATCCACAGGCTGCAGTTTCTCTATGCCAATATAAGTTGCACACACGAGCAACAGTAGAAAGGTAAAAAGCCTTTCCAAAAGTAAAGACAATATTACAAGATTTTAACACTTTATTCCAAAATGCATAGGATATAAAATGGAAAGCGTAATGCTGGTGGTCAACAAAAGAGGTTTAAAGACTGTCTCAAGGCAATTTTTTTAAAAATGTAGTAGAAACACCAACAATTGGGAAACATTTGCCTGCGAGCGCTCCAATTGGAGAATAGCCTTTACCAAAGGTGTCATGGGCTCTGAAGACACTCGAACTCAGGCCACAAGGGAAACATGTGCTAAGAGGAAGGCACGCTTGGCAAATCCACACCGTGATCAACTCCCACCAATGTCCCCACCGTGGAAGGATGTGTGGGTCCAGAATTGGCCTCCGCAGTCACTTACGGACTCATTGTTAAAACTGTGTTTATGGAAGACAACCTTACTCGGCTGCAAGTGATCGCCAGAGAAGGAGGAGGATATATTATTATTATACAAACTTAGAAATAATCTTCTGAAATATTCCTTTGCAACAAATTTCATGACCTACGCAGAACATTTTATGCTGTGTAAAACAAAGGAGAAAAGTAAATAATATATTTTCCATGGATTATTAATATTTTCAACACCATATAACATTTTTTGCTAGCTTCTATTTTTTTGGCATTGCCCTCAAATCTGTAGGCAGGTATTCTGGATTGTGAATCTTCAAACACTGAAAAACAAATTCATCCTCGCTACAGATGCACTGTAAGGGAAATTAGAGAGATTATTCACTTAAATAAAGCCATTATTTACAGAGCAAATATGCTGAGCTAGTATCCCTATATTTCAACAACATGCTTTTCGGGGGGGGGGGTTGCATTTTTCATTTAATAATGTACACCTTGAGTTAAACCTCTATAGCTACACATTTTGGAGAGATGAATTATTTTTTATTCATATACTCAGTTTGCTATTATTACATGGGGTGGGTTTTTGTGTGAATAATATGTTTCCTTAATTTTATGGGACAGGTAAATTGCTCATATCAAAATGCACATTGATCCAATCTGATATCCATAATTATTTTTTAAAAAAAGAAAGAAGAAGAAGAAGAAGTGGTATTTCTTGTAAACAGAACATGGAGTCTACAGTTCTAACATAATGTTTTATGCCAATAATTGCTTTTAGAAATTATAATCCTGATCATCCCCCAAAGCCATAAATATTTGCTGGAAACTCCAAAACTTTTAATAAGTCCATGAATTCCCTGACACTAACAGAAATTCAAATAATCAGAATTAATGTTACAAAAAAACCCAGTCACTGTCACATTATGCTAAACTGGCAAGCCTTCTCACTAATTATTACAGATACAGAAATGATATTCTGATGCTTCATGCTTGTAAGGTTTTTGGAATCTGCATCACTAATCATTTAATGTTCTCTGTGCCTTCATCCTCAAATGTGCTGTGCTAGTAGGAAAATACTTGCATACGGCATAATAGCAGAGATGTTTTTGCTGGCTCATTCTGTGAGCAAATACCTTCCTAATTCCAACCAGCACTTGATCATATAAAAATTAAGCAGTAACCATAATGATGGGATACTCAAGACACACATTCTCAAGATACACGGTCTGCATGAATATCAGCGGCAAGTGGCAGGAAGCATAGCTTGTTGAATGGATAGCTAGATAGTGCAGTTGGTTAGAGCAAGGTGCTGACAACGCCAAGGCTGCAGGTTCAATCCCTGTATGGGGCAGCTGCATATTATTGCATTGCGTGGGGTTGGACTAGATGACCCTTGAGAGTCCCTGCCACTCTATGATTCTATGGGATATGAAAAAAAGTGGAGCAGCCTTTGCCCACATCAGTAGTGACTTATTTAGAGCCTGAAAAGGTATCCTTTCAGTGGTAATGCTGGCATATCACATCTCTGTGTAGGACTGCCTAGTTAACAAAAAATGTCTACACTTATTTGCACATGAATGGAAAGAATATAAATAGATGCTGAACTTTAAAAACATGGGGCAAATTAGCAAACAAAAGCAAAGAAGTTTTAAAACATGCCAGGTGGCCAATCTTTTTTTTAAAAAAGAGTATTTCTCAGTAACAGGGCACTTAACATGAAATGCCCTCACTCCAGATGTTCAGCTGGCTACTACTGTGTTATCCTTTCGGTACTTGTTCAAAACTTATTTAACTTCCTAAGCTTTTCAGGGTGGAGTTTTTATGGAACAACGCAAGGAATTTGTCGGCTTTATGGAATTCCATTGACCATTGGTTTTATCCGTTCCTCTTGTGTATGATTACGAACGATATGTGTTGTTTTCAATACCTTTGCAACCCACCTTGGGATCAAGAATGACCAAGGGCAAGATATAACAACAACAGCAGCAGCAGCAGCAGCAGCAGCAGCAACAACAACAACAACAACAACAACAACAACAACAACAACAAATAATCAAGGAACTCTTAGTGTGTTGTCACCTGGCAATAGATTCCAAGCTAAGGAAGCTTTTCAAAATCGGGTCGTTCTCTTTTCTTGCCACCCAGACAGAGATGCGCAGGTAGTCACCTGATGTTCTCTGTTGTAAAAGGAACCTTCCTCAGCTACTACAGAATCGCAATGAGGACCCAGTATGAGGAAGGCAAGGGGTCCTTTTTCCAAACTCAAGGTAAAGGAATGCTATGTCAGCTAGTATAGGTGCCAACTCCCCATGAAGGGGCCGGGCGGCCACACATTTCAGTGCCAGGGCCATGCACGCTGCATGGCACCCACAGTCGTAGGGCCCAGTTAGCACTCCTGTCAGCTAGGGAGGAGCAGAAGGCATTTGGAAAGGTAAAAATGATTCACCCCAGGTATCTTGGCACCACCTTTCCGCCCTGTGCTCTGGCATGTCCAAAGTTATGTTCAACCCTCTACATTTCTTCTAAGCAAGTAGCATTTGGAGGAAATATCCCACCATTGAAGCATTATTTATTTAAGGTCCCAGGCTAGGTTACAGCCTTAAAAACAACAATAAAAACAATTTAAAACAGCTTTCAAGAAAGTAAAGACAAGAGACTATCTTTCTCCGAAGGACTGGCAAGCACCATTGGAGGTAATTACAAGGTGGATAAACCTGCTCCTAAGATTTACAAGAGAAGTTTGGACTCCATGAAACCAAAAGTAGAACACTGTCATGGAAGACTTAGAGGGCATACTAGGAAGTTAGAAAAGAACTTTATTATATCTCTTTAAAAAGAACAGCAACAGGAAATACCTGGCTCGCTTCAGATACCAGTTCAGCACCATCTAGTGACTCAACTATATAATGACATCATCCATATCGACACAATACAAGCTTTTCAAATCTTGCAGTATTTCCTTGTCCCAAATCCTCCGACAGCTCCTGGTTGTTTGAAATGATGTCCATGCTACATTCATTTATAGAATGATTGCCCGTTTCTGTTGCCCTCATCTGTTCAAATCTGTGTGAGGTATCACCATCATTACCAGAAAGAAAATTAAATGCCAGTTCCTCGGATTGTATTTCAGAACTGTGATTTAAACACACAGGAGCAAAGAAATTCAGAACCAAGGACACAGTGTCCTTTGTACATAAAAAAACATTAGTGTAATGGGCAACCTTACAAAATAATACCATAACGTGATTGATCAAGGGGGGCGGGAATGAATTGCTCCGGGAAATGTCTGAAAGAGGATTGTACTCTTCCTATTCCTTCTGAATTCCACAGCAGAATTTTTTCCCCAGGACCTTTGCTTTGCAGAACTGATGTCATCATGATGAGGAACAGAAGCAGCAGGGAAGGACAAATGCATTAGCATCCTTGACTGTTTCAGGTGAAGGAAACTCAAATTCAGATCACCCCAGATCTCAGGAATTATAAAGTTTGCTGTTTCTTCCTTCAATCCATACAATGCCTTCTTGATTTCAAGATTCGCAGTCACTGTGTAAACATTGTTTAATAAAATAATTAGCAGGTGTTTCCACATTTGAATATTGTACTTTCCTAACACACACAATTAGGTGGTTGTTTTTTTAAAAAAATGTGGTCAGTTCTTCCTTAGACCTGGGATCCCCAGTGTGACACCCAAGGGTGCCTTCATATACCCTCTTGGCCCCCTAGGCCCCCTGCCCTTCACATTTTTATTTTAAAACTATTAAACCCCTGACCTAGATTGTTCCATTGCCACACAGTGTGTATAGAATGAGGAAGAGCACGTCTTACTATTGGATTAGCATCAAGCATTCAAATGTCTGAGTTACACAGAACCTAGTATTGTACAGAATTAAAAGGCTGTTAATTTTCTGCAAAAGTGTTATGATTAGGTTAAGACTGAACTGAAATTTGAATGTTTACACACTCTCTTTGCAACATACGTTGGCACAATGAAAGAAACCCCCCATATCCTGATCTGTTGTGAGGTTGTTGTTGTTGTTGCCAATCTCTGATCTCTTCCCTTGCCGGTAACCAGAAGAAACCAAGATTGATTATGGGCCAGCTCAAAACTCACAATCTCTGTGGATCTGTGGTGCAATGCAATTAGCATGGGATTTCCTTCAAGAATCTATTGCCTGCAAAGTCTTTGATTTCATGTGCTGAGTGACTGATGATCTTTTCCTGCCAGCATCCTTTACTGCACTTTATCTACCGTTCCTTGCTTTCTTTATACCATGGGTCCCTTTCTGCCTTCTTGGTCCTCACGATTTCACTGTCTGTAACAGCTTCTTTGGTGCCACCACTCCCAGGCAATTGGCCTGCAGGTCTGGGATGCCTCACTCACCCGTTGGGATGAGTGGTGATAACAAGAAGATAAGGAGGGGGATTCCAGCCTGGTGTACACAGCAAGATGGGGGAGGGGGTCAAACAATTTCCATCACAAGTCACACTTATGAACCACCACGTTGCACCTGACTTTGCTTCCCTGAGTCATGGATAACCTGGGGGGGGGGGTTCTTGTAAAATGCAAAAGTAGGTCCCACAAACCAGAACAATCCAAAAATTCAATCCCACCACATAATCAATTGGATGAGACGGTAATGGTTTGATAACCTTTGCTGGCAGATCCCCACTTCCCCAATCTTACTGATTGGTTGCTACAATCCAGCCTATCTGAGTGAAGAAAATCTGCTGACTGCTTACACTGAACTGCAGCAAATTACCCTGGAGGAAATGTCCACAGAAGTGTCCTCAGGGCACTTGATTAGACACCTTTGTTCTCGCATCTCACGCTTTAATTCTCTCAGGGGTGTTCGTTGTCACCTGAAGCTCTCTATGCCTTTTCCCTTAGCAAAACATATCTAATTTCAAGTAGCATATCATAAAGGACACAAGCCTACACTATTGCCATGATTCATAATAAAGCAGAGCCACCTAGTGGTCCCAGTGATTCTTTCTCCTCCCCTCCCTCCCAGAAATCCATGCTGCTCTTTTATTTACAGAAAGGGATGGGCGAAGAGTAGATTAGGATCTTCTGGCAGATCTCTGTGTGATCTGCCCATTTTACTGTGTGAGTCACAGTAAAAAGCTTTCTGACTTCCAGTGGTTTAACAACAGCAAGTAAAGTCTTCAAGTAACCCTCTTTCTATGTTCCTCACCTGTAAAATATTAGCATTTCTTGGTTTCCTTTGACCATGGCTTAGTGCAGCCCCACAGACTAGCTTTAGAGGTTTCTGTTTAGAATCCCTAATCTGTAGTAACTCAAGATGTTCATGAGGTGCGGTAGGCAATTGCTGTCCCTCCTCCCACAAAACACTATTTGAATCAGGCTCTGTCCCCTGCTGCTATTTTGCACTGGCTCTGGTTGGTGGACCTCAATGGCTCCTGTCAAAATAAAGGAGATCCCTCAAGCCTGAAGCTTGCTCACCACTGATTTACACAGCCGGTTTTCAAGAGCGACCATTCAGCATTTTATTCCAGCATCTTGGAAATGCAGCAAAGGTGGGTGATTTCAAATATTGCCCTTCTCCCCACCTGCCACCCCCCAAACATGGATATTTTCAGCCACTCTAAGAACAAACATTGAAAGCATAGGAACCTGAGTCAGAACACTAGTCTCTCTAGCTCAGTATTGTTTTACATTGAGTAGAAGCGGCTTTCTGGGGTTTCAGACTGAATATGCTCCCAGCCTGAAAATGCTGGGGAATGAACCAGGGACTTCTGCATAGGAAACAGATGTTATCCCACTGAACTATAGCCCTTCCCCTTAATGTTTGTGGCTTGTGAGAGGTAAAGGGGCAACCAAAAGGCAAATTCTAGGATATATTCAAGAAGAAACTGGAAAAAAGTGCTTTGGAAAGTGCATTCATTGTGTTAATTTTCTTTTTTTTTTTGTAGTTCACAATTACTAGAACAGTGGCTAATCGTCTGTTTAAAATGCAACCACAAAATGTCTTCGTACCTTCAACACATATATCAGCTACATAAGTCCATTGAATTTTCTTATTATACTAGCCACTCAGCAGGTATAGAACCAGTGAGCTGGACAGAAACACAACTCCATCTAAAGAATAATCCCTTCCAAAAAGATATATTGAATTAGCAGCGGACAGTTCACAAAATGAAGTTCCGCATCCATCTCACCAACGAGACTAATAAAACCCCATCTCTCAGTGGTGGGGCAGAAGTGGGCTAGCAAATCTATCGTGTGCCTCAAACAACAGAGTAATGTTGATAAGCAAAATAGATTTCAGGGTCATCTGCAAAGAAGAAGAGACCATTGTTCAATTTTGGATCTATTGAAGCTGACAGTGTCCCTTTCAGAAGTGTAATTGGAGAATCGCAAGTACCTTGGGCTGGCATTGCAGTCTTTTTCTTCTTTCACGGCAGGCAAATATTCACATTCAGCTAAGAAAAGATTGGAGACAGTGAAACTATTAGCCTGGGGAATTTTGTGAACGTCTGTTCAATTTGAATAGCAATGACTGCACTGTAGACTCCTCCAGGACCTGGACATCATTTTTTATTTTTATTATTATGTCTGCAACCATTAGCCCATTTAAAACCCTTGTGGATAAGTCAGAAGCCATAGTAACCTTTGTTTTATTTATATTATATATATATATGCGCAGAGCACCCATTTCCCAGCACCTTGCCTTTGTCACAAGCTAAAAATAAGAGAGATAATAATAAATTGCCCATCATACAATTGTTTATGTCATGTCTGTTATTCTGCTGGATTACTCCAGCTGGTGAGTTTGTGTGCTGTTGTCCTTTTCATGCTGTTGCTGGGTAGCACCCATCGAGTAGTGGCAAACTTTGAAGACCCCTAGCAAGGTCAGGGGCTTCACTTTTAAAGGCAGGCTCTGTGTCTTCTGCCAGGTACTGTAATGTCAGGCTCACTGCAGCTTACTGCGTCAAGCAAAGGACAGAGCACCAAACCCACTGATGCCAAATTAAATGTGAACTAAGCATAGGTGCCTAGTCTAAGGAGGATGGCCATGTTCACACCAATAAACTTCTCCTATCTGGTGCTAGAGATTTAAGCACCAGGGCTCTTCACTCCAATGTTGCCGTTAGTTGATAGTATTTCCATAGTATTGCACAAATCTGTAAAGGTATAGACCAGAGCAGGGGTTGCTAACCTGTGGTCCTCCAGATGTTGGACTACAGCTCCCATCAGCCCCAGCCAGCATGGCCAACAGTGAGTGATAGTGGGAGCTGAAGTCCAGCAACATCTGAAGGCCCACTGGGTAGGCCCCTCATCTACATATTATGGATATGTAATGCTTTCCCAAAGTCATTTGATCAGCAGGCAAGGTATGCCTACCAATTTGCTTACCTGGAGGCCTTACAAGCTGAACATAAGGCATCTGTGTTTAGTTGTATGGGACTTTACTCTACAGTCCCTTCTTCAAGAAGCATGACTTGGAAAAAATAGTAGTCTTAAGCTATGTGAAGGATTTTTTGAGGGGGTTAAGAAATCCCCTCCCCCGTTATCTCCAAAAGAATTTGGGGGAAACAGAACAGGTTTTTTTGGTGGGCAGGGAGGATTCATATCACTACTTGTTGTTAATAGCTACGCACAAAAGTGATATACATGCTTACAGAAATTATTAGCGATTCAAACATCAAATCAAGCTGTGACCCCCTAAAAATGTCTGTAGGACATAGGGTTTCACCAGTCCGAACAGTGAGCAAATTACTCACTTTACGTTAACAACAATAGCAACCATAATAGCCTTGAGGTTATTCCAATCCACTCCTTTACCTCGCAAAGGTACATATCGGATCTTGTTGCACATAGAGCACCTCTAATAATCTACGGAGATCAGATCTCAAGAAAATAGCTACTATCCTATGTAGATTACCAAAGCCATATGAGTGTAGAAGAGGTCCCTGTAATGTCAAGTAACAGGCATAGAGTGAAAGGGGAGGAGGTTCTGATGTGGATGCAGGTGACTTGCCATACTCAATATTTGTGTCATTGTGCCCAGTTTTCCCCTTTTGCACAGTCTTTGAACCAGGCTCTAGGTATGCAAGGTCTTTTCAGCAGCTTGGTGAGACGATCCTCTGTTATCAGGGTATTGAAGCTCTAAGGGAGCAACTTGACCGTGATCACCTAGTGAGTCCTTTCTGAGCAGGAACTTAGGGTGCTTCCATACTGTCACTCTTTCCAGGTGGAATTCAGTAGCATGTCAGCAAATTCAGGCTGTACAATTAAAGTGGAGCTCTTGCAGAACAAACCCACTCCCCCACCCTAGGAAAAAACAGACTTTTATCATTGGAAAGTAAGAGGAAAATGCAGTGGAAACTGTGGGATAGCAACTGCTTGATGAGATGTCATATAATCTCCCTGCAAGCAACTCAGGATAAATGTTCAATAGGCAGTTGACATTGTATAACCTTCCCGCAAACATTGTGGAAACCAATCAGGACGAATGCTGAATAAACAGGTCATCTGGAAGCAACCTTGGGCCCAAGTTTCCACTTGTATTATTCTATCCACTAGACCGCAGTGACTTTATGGCACTTTCTGTGGTCTGGGCACCTTGGTGCCTACATGTATTTCAGCCCTTTCTCTGGTTTTTGTGTCTTTCTTTTCCCCAGCAGCTATGTTTTGCGAACCTCTTGGAATAAGATATTGATACCACATTCCCTGTGCCAAGAAGCTTGATTTAATATACAGTGTTTGAGGCAAACAAGCATGCAGATTGGAATAAGAAGCCAGGAGACATAGGTTTAAGAATAATTGGATATGCCCAGCTCTCTTCCAGATTGGACAATAATCACAACTAGCCATCTGCTTGTGGAGAAAACAATGATTTCATTCCAGGTAATGGAGGAGTAGATAGCAAACCTAAAAAGACTGCAAGGAGGAAACGATGTGGTCATAGTAACACGCCTGTAAGATGATCCTAGAGACGGCAGTGAATAAAAAGTGCTAGGAGCCGTGAGTCAATAGTGGTGAAGCATATCGCAAATTAATGCCAAAAAACACTCCTTAATACTAAAACACACACCACTCTCAGAGAAGCCACTTGCTATATTGAAATGGCTACAAATATTTAGGCTTTGAAATAAGAACTACATCACCTTAAAGGGACACACATCTATTTTCCAATCCCCTCAATATTTAAAAAGCAGTTATCGTCTGCTACTATTTTAGTATTTCAGATTATAGACTTAAATGCATTTTAGAGAACTTAGGCAAAGACGGTGGGAAGAGATGGGCTTGTTAGAAAAGAAAAAGGTCCAAGAGTAGAATGAGATCAATACATACTATTTCGTTTTAAGCTGCTCATCCATTTATCAAGCTCTTCCATCTCTATTTCCATTACAGAGGGTGTGTCTTCTTCAAAAATAGGACTGAGTAAGAAAACAAAAACATATTTTGGACCATGCAGCTTAGAATTGTTAGACAGATATTTTTAATACCATTTTAAAATCAATCCATGTGTTAGGCTGTATTTAAGTATTTAGCTGTCGGTGTGCTTAATTTAGAAAAGAGCATCATTGTGTGAGCTGTTGAATCAATAAATGTTACTAAATCTGGAATAAAGCTAATGCAATAAACTAGTAGTCCAGTATATCCCATTGTTGCAATATGGGGGACATCGCCTAAAGACGACAGCCATTTAAAAAAAATTAGATATGGTTCTGTCATACTGAAGAGTCTATGTGGCCCTAGGCCATGAGAACAGTTCCACAACTGTTGATATGAACAGGAAGCAGTCTTACCTTTTACAGCTTTCACTTGGTAGTTCCTCTGAAATAAAATGAAATGCATTTCAGAAAGAAGTAAATGATTCATTTAAAAAAGAGATAGAGAGATGTGCGGTGGGCTGGCAATCAAATATTGCAGAGTAGAATGCTCCTGCTCAAGATTCAACCCAGCTATACTCCATTCCCTTCCCCCTTTCCCTTGGTTATCCATTCTTGCTTTGTTGATTTGTGATGTCAGAAGCTTTTCAATCCAAAATACCTGGAGGGCACAAGGTTGAGAAATAGTATGAGGCAAATTGGGCCAGGATTACATCCTTTACCTTCCTGAATAATTATTATGCACAAAGCCAAAAAGAAGAAGAAGAAAAAAGAAAAACATATGAACTTGGAGGCAGCTAGAAAGTAAAATGCAGTAAAATGGATATTAAGCCCAAGTTGAAATTAGTAGCTGAGGTAAATTTAAGATGTTGACTACAGCCAAGCTGCATTAATATTCAAATCAGAGTCTAGCGGTGAACAGGAGACTGGAAGCAATGAATTTCTTGAGGCTAACAGGTTCCAACAGTGAAAGCAACATAATGAGAAGTCAACAACTGTGATAAAAATTGTTTACTTCCACACAGCCTAATGCTGTACATGTGCAGTGCACCTGTTTACGAACAGAGACTGTAGCAGATTACAGATAAGGGGCAAGATGAAAACGCAAACACACACCAACACCTAAAACCTGGAGAGAAAGGCATTTGAGAGCACGGAGCAACGAAGGAAAATAAACCAAGGAAAGAATAATTGCCAGGAGAGATGCAGGTGGATGAAACACCAGATGGAATAAGAGGGGAAACCACATCCACTGGAGGTTAGGATGTGGTATTTTTAAAGGAGGAAACTGTCTTCTGAACAACTGAAAGGAAATGTGTCTTTTTATACCTAGCAAGGTATAGGAGGGAGGAAAGGACAGGGGGAAGGATGTAGGCACTGCTTCACTTTTCCCAGCAGAAACATTGATGGGTTGGACCACAGACTTAACCATGCCGTCTCCACAATGCCTCAAGTTCTGTTGAAAGTTCCACCCCAAAAATATGCTATATAGGCTGCACCTTTTGTCAGTACAAATGATTCACAGTTGGCATGACAAATTCACAGCATAGTTGTCCTGACCTGACCTCAAGCAAAAGCTCATGGGGTGTGCCAGGGGTACTCCACAAGGCAGCCTGGAGCAGCAGGACCTCGGAGAGCTCTCAGTGAGCCACTTGTTCCAATGGAAGGAGGAGGTGAGTGGACCACTCTGTTCAGCTTGCTGTTCCAAGATTCCACTACCCCCTACCTGAGGAGTGTGACTACTTAAAACAGGAACAGGAAACCTCAGGCCTAGAGGCTGATGGAATGCCTGGAGGGCCACAATCTGGCTCCACAGGCCCCACCTTCTTCCCAGGCTGCACTCATCTCAAACCCTGCCTACTGTCCTCCTTGGGTGTTCTTATCTGGCTAGAATGTGTCCTTAAACTCCATTAATGCCTCTTGCTTTCCTGGATGGAAGCTGAACGTCCAATGTGGCTTCTGTGGCTTCTGGTTGAGTGCAGGAAACTCCTGCAGCCAATCGGAAGCCGCACCTTGGTTTTCGAATGTTTTCAGAAGTCGAACGGACTTCCGGAACGGATTCTGTTCAAGAACCAAGGTACGACTGTATAGGATTGCAGCCTAAGTCATTGGTGGGGAAAGTAGATCAGGTTCTAATAGTAGATTTCTGAGTAATACGCAGTGCTTTTTCTGAGGGTATGCAGGGGTATGCATACCCCTAAATATTTTGTGAATCTAACGGGAGAAGAAACTAAAAAAAATCTAAAAAAAGCACGGTGAATCATCAGTTCCGTTGCTACCCCTCTCACGGTGTTTCCTGAGTCTCAGATGGAAGCGAGCGTTTAATGTGTGAAGTAGGAGCTGGAATCTAGCATGGTGATTTGTCAGTTTCGTTGTTACCACCTCCAATGGCGGCTTCATTTCTTTTCCCAGTGATTTTATTGAGTCAAAATGAGAGTGCTCCTGAACATTTTTTTAAGAAAAAAAGCAAAAATAATTTGAAAAAGAAGGAAAGATCTCCCCCCCCCCCCGCTGAAATGAAGAAAGCTGGGGTGGAAGCAGAGGAACTAGAAATGGGTTTTTGTGCATGGGGATTGCAAGTTTAGTTTTGGTACCGAAAACAAATTTCTGGGTTGAGAATGTACTCAATTACCCTGTTCCTTAATCTAGGTGTGTATTGCAGGGTTTGAGTCACCCTAAGGTGTTTGCGTCACCCAGGAGATTGCAGCCACAGAGATAAAAAAGAAGAGCTGCTCTGTTATCTGGAGAGGTCACTTCCTGGTTCTCATGGAGAAGCTGTTTTCAACGGAGCTCAGCAACGGAAGCATGTAGCTGTATTGAGACAGCACCAGGTGTTGAAATTTTGCACCCCCAACAATTTTTGTGCCCGGGTGGGCCCCCCATGCTATGCCACTGCATCCCGCTGCCCCCCCATCCTAGGAACTGATATTTAACCCTCATGGAGCTCCCAGCAGCCTTAACAAACTACAGTTCCCATGATTCTTTGGGGTGGGGGTGCCTAGACTGTGCTTTAAGGATATGGTGCACACTCAACCAAAGTATCACAAGCAGGAGAAAAACACACAACCAAAAACCAATGCCAAGAATTCACGGCATTGCAACTGAAAATATGCCTGTAGACAGTTGCCCTGTATGTTTATATACCAACACTCATAAGCTTCATTAGCCATCAGACTATTAAACCACTGCTTGTATATTTTAAATATTTGAATCTGTGCATGTCCAATCACCATCTTAAAGCTTCTCCCACTCTTACCAGCCCTTTATATTTCACTGTATATTTTCTAAAGGCTCTGCCCGTTTCCCCTTTCCATTGCATCATAAGCAGAATCATTGTCAAGGGAAACATGTCGTTTCCTGGATTGCATTATCCTTCTAGCTGGCAGATTAAAGACATCACAATCCCATGATTCTCCTGCAGCATGTTTGGATCTTAGCAAGCGGTAGGTGCAATTGCCACGTTTATCCTGGAAGACCTTTGTGAGGGGAAATGTGAAGAATAAAATTAATTTTTGAAGCAGCCTTATTTCCTCCTCTTTCTTTATTGGAGAGGCATAAATCCAATACTGTAGTAAGTATAAGGGCAAGTATAAGAAAAATGGCAAGGGGAATTATCTATGGCCAAACACCCTTGAGAAAGAGCCGAAAAGCCAAGAAAATCCCATTATAACTGTCCTGGACAAGAGAGATAAGCAGTGGGGACTAAGAAGCACAGTCAGACCAGGTTAAGTGGGATTTCTTGTTTGCACTGGAATTGTGTTTAGCCAAATAATAGTCTCCTGAGGAATTCAGAAATGTGCCTGGTTTTCAACAACACTGCTCAGCAGCATGGAATATACGAGGCACTGAGGGCTCAAAATCCCAGTGCTCAAGCATAGGCTGCAGAAATCATCTTCCCTTCCTTCCAGACCATGAGCTTTGCCTCCTGGGTCTATTCCCTATCACAGTGAATAGAAAATGTATTCTCTTTTGTTTTGGGGGCTGCCAGGAATCACACAGAATGCCACCCTGGACTGATTTGCAACAAAATATATGTCACCCCACAGGTAACCTGAGAGAATATTGTTATCCTGCATTATACACACATGCAATTGTATGAGCATAGGATCCAATCTTAACCCAATGACCAGAAGTTAGAGGCAAGCCAGCTGCTGAAATCCCCATATGTTGGATTTCTGTTTATGCCACTGTGTAGTTTTTGGAGTCACAAGACTCTGTCTACATTCCAGACTGTTGGAAGTCTCATGGGAGACAGGCGATGGATGTTGATGTTACTGGTTTCCTGTTCCTTTGTTTCAGTTGTTCACTGACTCTCACAGAGAGCAGATGCATATTTTTTTCTGTCCTGAGTAGTTAGAAATAAAATTAGCAATGTAGCACATATTTCAGCTCATACACAGTAAAAAGGTAAAGGGACCCCTGACCATTAGGTCCAGTCGTGACTGACTCTGGGGTTGCGGCGCTCATCTCGCTTTATTGGCCGAGGGAGCCACCGTTTGTCCGCAGACAGCTTCCGGGTCATGTGGCCAGCATGACCAAGCTGCTTCTGGCGAACCAGAGCAGCGCACAGAAACACCGTTTACCTTCCCGCCGGAGTGGTACCTATTTATCTATTTGCACTTTGATGTGCTTTCGAACTGCTAGGTTAGCAGGAGCAGGGACTGAGCAACAGGAGCTCACCCCGTCACGGGGATTCGAACTGCTGACCTTCTGATCGGCAAGTCCTAGGCTCTGTGGTTTAACCCACAGCGCCACCTCCTAAACTAAAGTTAGACCTAATTCAAGAGTTAAATCCAATTCAGACATTTACCATGTGATAGCCAGTTGTCTCCTCTGCATAGGTGCCAGCTCCCTGGGGCCCTGAGTGCCCAAACACCCACAAAATTCCCCATGAAGGGGCCGGGCACCCACAAATCTCAGTGTCCAGGCCATGCACACTGCATAGAACCCATGGCACTGGGCACCCACGGTCACGGGGCCAAGCTGGCAATCCTGCTCCTCCATATATATATAATCTAATATGGTCCTTCACACATCACCCAAGAAACTTTAATATCTACCTTGCTTGGGTGGTTTCTGTTTCCAACGTCTGACAATGAAAACAACCAGCAAAACAATCAGGGCTAGAAGCAGAGCAGCCGGGACTCCGTATATCAAAGCAGGATGTAGGTCTTCCATTTCTGCAGAGGCAGTGGTTTCCATTTCCGAATTCTCTGCTTCTGTAGATGTAGCGGCAGTTTGCACACCCTGGTCACTAGTTGTCAAAATCATAACAGATGTAGGTGATCCCAGTGTATTTAGTACAGGTACTTCTGTGGTAACAGGTGATGTCAAGCCATGCCCTGAATATTCTTCATCTGCCGGTGCTGTTGTAGAGCCTGCCAAATGGGGGGAAAACAGGGCTGGATTAACCATTAAGCAAAATGAGCACATGCTTAGGGTATCAAGGGAAGGGGTCACCACAGAATTTTCCCATCAGAAAAAGTAGGAGAACTTTCCCCCCAAATATAAATAAAGTGAAAGTATAAAAAATAAACAGTATTTTCTATCTTACTGTAGGTTTTGTTTCATATCAAAAACATAACATTTTATTTTACGGTTTATTATTGTTGATATTTTGAATATATCTACCCAAAATCTTTTAAGTGCTTAGGGTTTCTAAATGTCTTAATTTGGCCCAGGGTGGGGGGCGGGCGGACAAGAATATATCACTTTTATTTGGATAACTGGAACTAAAAATAAATTTTAGCAAATGAGCTTTTTAAAGAAATCCATTCATTTTCTGATGCGTACTCAAGAAGCATCCTTGACCGCATGGCTGCTCAAAAACTGTTATTGGCAATGGGATCTTAGACTTGGCATTTTCCTTGTGACCCACATCTTCTGATTACATGACAACTCACGACTGTGTCCTTTGGATCTATAATGGTTTCCACAGAGATTTGTTAGAGCCAAGTGAGGATTACCAGGTAAGATCCTCCCTCTATTGTGTGGGCAGGTAATCCCTCCCCCTACCTGGCCTGGTTTCCCTGGCAACGCTTCCCCCAGGTGGGATTGGACAACTCACTGAGGTAGGCGGGGACCTCCAGGTATCCCACCTGAGGGAAGGCAAAGCCTATGCTGATGGGGCCACTCCAGATCCAGGGCTGCACGCGTCCACGCAAAGGGCGCCCCCCGTTTTAAGCGGGGAGCGGTCATTGTTAAACCCAGTGTGTTGTAAATCTAGAATCAGGGCATTGTAGTGGAGCACTGAGTTTGCAAATCACTACAAAGCATTTAGGAAAATAAAGTTGGTTTGTTGGTTTTTTTGGTAAGAAAAGGCAGCATATTTATGGTTTGCTTTATGAAAGCTACTATTATACAATCGTACATAGTATTCAATTCACAAAAAAAATTATGAACAAATATTTACAGCGTGACACGCACACAACGAAAAACACGTTCTTCCAAACAAGGTATACTGAAGATGCAGCACAGAACAGCCCCAAACTTATACAGCTGTTTGGAACAAAAGGGAACAAAAGATTTTTTGATTTATTTTTTTTAAATCCTAAATCTCAAAAGCAGAATAAAGTTGAGAGCTGCTGTGCTGAGCTTTAGGCATACAGCTGTATCTGGAAGGCTGGCAAGTGAATGGCTGGGAAAACCTCAGTTAAATAAGTACAATGAAACACACATTAAAAATGAGAGGTGCGTGAGACAAATCACTGTTTGTTTTTCATTTTAACGTTTCATTTAAGTTTGTTTTTCACTGTTTGTTTTTCATTTTAACGTTTCATTTAAGTTTCCATTTGTCAGAATTGCATCTGTTCAGTTGTTGTTTTCAGTGATTGTAATGAAAGCCCCACCTGTTTTCTGCTGCTTGTAACTTCTGTACAGTGGTACCTCAGGTTAAGTACTTAATTTGTTCCAGAGGTCCGTACTTAACCTGAAACTGTTCTTAACCTGAAGCACCACTTTAGCCAATGGGGCCTCCTGCTGCCACCGCACCGCCGGAGCACTATTTCTGTTCTCATCCTGAAGCAAAGTTCTTAACCTGAAGCACTATTTCTGGGTTAGCAGAGTCTGTAACCTGAAGCGTATGTAACCTGAGGTACCACTGTATTTTCTATCTAAGATATAACACATTTGCTTGCATTCTACTTAGCAATCAACAAATCTGTTTGTCAACTCACCATGGGCAACTGCCCTCTGGTGATCCGAACATCCAGCACCACACAAATCCCTGCCCTGCAGATCTCATTTCCATTGCATTTCCCCCAATCAGGTAAGAAATAGTAGGATTCCTTTCCAAACAGCAGGAAAGACTTCCATTCTTCCTTACCCTCTCCATAACCCACACAAATAAGAACAGACTCTGTTTCTCTCCCAAGTTCTCTGTGAATGCCAGAGGATGCATGGGAGAGGGCTGGTAGTTACCACAAATAATGGCGGGCAAGGGAGCCTAGCCAGCATTTGTGGATCCCTGAATCTATTACCATCACAAACAACAACACCCCTTCTCCATCCTCAGGCACCAGACTAGCCAAATTTCAGACAGACTAGACAAAGGGACCACACTTTAAAGGAAAGTAAAAATGCACAAACTAATGGAACAAATTTCCCTTAATTTTGTTTTTCATTCAGATATGATGGATTACTATTTCCCATTCATTTATTCGCATGACAATGAAGAAATCAGTTATGCTCATTCATTCATTATCCATTCATTATTAAAAGGAATTAACATCTCTATTGAGGAATGAACATCCCGACTACAAACAGGTGGCTTCTGAATTAGCTGTGGCTACTCCAGAAAGTGATCTTGGAGTCATGGCAAAGAGCACAGTGAAGTGACCCAAATTTGAGACCTGGAGCCCTTGAGAAAGCGAGTTCTCTTACTGAATGGAAGGGCAAATCTTTTTTATATGCACACATGCATTGACCAATAAAAAGGCGGTGATAATAGATCATTCTCCCCCCGGTATCAAATTCAGAATGCATTCCGAAAGCTTGATGTTATGGTTGGTGAGATGTAAATATTTGTTCCTGCCTTTGAGAGCAGCACATACTTCAGACGCTTTATAAATTAATTGCTCCCAAAATAACTTCAGTCTAAGCCATTTCACTCTCCCAGTTGTGCTGCCAGACTCCTAGGGAGGGATGGGGACGAGAGATAAAAATAAGCAACAGTTGGCTATGTAACATACCAATATTGCAGTCAAATATCTCAGAAGTCTGCAATCCACATGCCTATGCTAGTACCTTTCCCCATCTTTATTGGACAGAGATGTCATTGTGTCAAACGGGGTCACCAAAAAGTGTGAAAGGGAAATTTCACTGAAAGTGCACTACAGAGTTTTAGCTGGAGGATTCATCGTAGTGGCATTCAGCAAATCTGCTTATACAGATGCCAGCATGAACTCTCTGCAGCAGAGGTAGCCGGTGTGGTGGATTACAACTTGCACCCAGGGCCAATCCTACCACTAGACAGATTGAGACACTGACCTCAGACAGCAGGTCTGATAGGCAGAAAGTACACAGAGCTCTGTAAACCCTGGGGCCTGCTCTGTGCCCCCTAAGCTAGGCCACTGCCCTCAAGTATGTGGAGGACTCTGCCTAATCACCAGTGTTGAAGTGAAAGTCAGATGCTAACCTGGTCAGCATTTGAACATGGAATGGGAGGGGTGCCATTGTTTATTTCACTTCGGGTGGCAAAATGTCTTGGGCTGGTCCTGCACCTATCTGCCTCAGCTAGCAAGGCCAGTGGTAGGCATGCTGTGAGTTGCAGGTAGGCCACAGCATCTGGAGGACTTCATGTTGACTACTCTTGCCCTTGTGGAAAGCTGCAATAGAAATGTAATCAACTGGTTAATGTCTTACAGAATAGCTATAAAAGGTTACGCCAAGTACTTCCAGGGAAGAAGAGGACAAGCTAGCATGTTGGTGGAAGGGTGTGTGCTTTAAAGTTATGGCAGTCAGGTGAAATGAAAATCACATTGATTGACTGGTAATAAAATACTCTTGAGATGACAGATTTCCCCGAGAAGGCCAAACCCAATACATTTTGCTGCCTAGGATTGAATAGAAAATGGTATCCCCCACACAAAAAAATCCTACAGAGGCCTCTCCCTGACAGTACAAATACAGGAATAATTAACTAAAAAGGTTAATTTTTGGGCAAAGGGCAATTTGCTGCCCTTTCAAGACCCCCATACCCAAAAATCTGCTACCTGAAGAAGCCACCTCTCTAAAATCTATGAAGGGCTGAATCACATGAGCAGGTAGGTAAGCAAATGCCATTTTCTCTCTTTTTAAATTACTTGTAAAACTGCATCGATTCAATCAGCGTTTTTGTTCTTAAGAGGAAAGGCAATCACTACAATTGCTGTGAGATGCCCTGCAATATTATGTATGTATGAAAGTAACTTCAAAAGTATTTCGTTGTATCCATGCCAGAAACAACTTATTTAAGAAGAGAAAAGCTGTTCTTCCATTTCCTCCCATTAAGAGTGTTCCCAACTAAAAGAGAATTTGTTGCCTCTCCTAATCCTCCTTTTTATTGGCATGTGTCTTAAGAGACATGGCGGAATGTGTCCTCAGGGGAGCGTCCCCCCTTTTCTAAAGTAACACAGGGAACTGAAAATGTGAGCTCGAGATAGGAGGAGCTGTAAAGGAGAAGGGGGAGAGGGCTGGGGTGGGTATTTAGTTTGATGGATGGGTTTAGCTTCAGGAATTTGGGGGAGTGATGTTTAAGTCAACATGTGGGTCATCATTCTCCTCTGAGTTTTGGATGTGAGAGCAGGGTGTAAGCAGTGGAGTTTGACTACTGAGGTGGCATGCTTCATTCCCAATCATTATTTTTCCTTAAAAAACCCCTACACAATTAAAATAATAACACTCTCTCTTTTTTTCTTCACAAAGGGCACTTTCATGTAGGGAGAGCAGGTAAGCGGAAGGAAAAACTGTGAGTTTTCCACTTGTTGGTGTTTTATTAACTAAGGTAAAATTTCCAGAACAAAAGTCCATGGAACTATTTGTCTGAACTTTGGCAGGCTTCCCCCACCCTCACCCCGGGGTACATCCATCCCTCGTGTCTAAAGTTTTCAAACTGGTTGCCCCCCAAGAAATACCTAAGGAAGGAAATGTGATTTCCATTTTCCCACCCCATCCCACCCACACCATATCCAGGATTCAGTTCCATTCACAGAAGGAAAAGTAGGTCAGTTGCACGTTTGATATAAACATTAAAACGGGGGGACGGGGGACGGGACTGAACAATAAAAAAAAAACACCTCTTGATAGAGTACTGCAACCATTCTTATGAAACAGTTCCCAAATTAGAGGTTATGCTAAGCATATATGCCCGGAATTAAGGACAATTTAAGTTAATGAAACTTTCATACAAGTAAGCATTTGTGAGACTAGGCTACAATTTGGGCTCAGTTAAGAGGATCAGAGACAGAATGTGTGATATATGCATTATCAACCAACTATCTGGCATGTAGGCCCTTGAAGAGAAACAACTAGGACTCAGGAGTCAGTTCCTAGAGAGTTGACTCAAAGGTGTGGCTTGTCTGGAAAAGTTATTACTATTTTCTGCAGGCTCCTAAGCCTCATTAAGGATATTCTAACTCAGCTTGAAGTGAATGAGGATGGGGAGAAATTTGATTCCGTTTGGATTTTAAGGTTCACCTTACAAAATTCTCACTGTCTGAAACAAGATGTGAACAGAAACACAGCCATCCTTGAACATTCACACTTTCTTTGAACATTGCAATGCGGTTCTCCAGCCAAACAACATGTACATAAATGCATGTATCAGGGTAAAATGTGCATATAAATGCACACATTAGTGTAAATAACAGGACTGTGGTCTGATCCAGCGAGGAGGGTTCTTCTGACATTCTTATGAGTGTCAAAGGGTTCAAACACCTGAGGAGTCTTGTGTTTTCAATTCAGTCTTTAATCATGATCAGGTATTTGGAGAGGATCCAAACAATGGTATTATTTTAATAATCGTTGGAAATTTGATACGGAGACAGGCAAGCAATGCTGCCAAAACCAGGAACGTTTTACGAGCCTGTCGTCAACAAGCCAGCTTGTGGGTGAGTTTTATCCAGCATTTGGCTATTTCACAATGAGAAATCTGCTTTCATTTCTCGAAAGCCATTTCTATCTAAAATGCTCATATATTTTGTCCAGAGGCCTAAGCTAGCATTTGATTTATACTTCAAGTTAATATGCTTTAAAATATTTGGGTTTCTCTTCCTTGAAACTTGTCTGAACAAGAAGCCGCTTCAGACTTTCATTCTTCTTCGGAAGTTGCCTTTCGCAAGAACTTCCTTAGAGATTTTTTAAAAGTTCAGAAGCTTAGCGTCTCAAGCTGTTGCAAGAAATGGCGGTAGTCAAAACATTAATGCACCCAAAGTACTTAACAGACGACGTCTCTCTTGTGGACTGCTTTGCAAATGCTACATGATTAGCGTGGGAGGTAAAATCCAGAGAGTTTCCTATGGCAAAGGAAACCCCCCACCCTGTGGGTCTTCTATGACAGGTAGATGTGTCCACCTATGAGTCATTTGATGGTTTACAGACAGGTGACCCGCACATCTCTAGGGTAAGGGGAGACAAATGGTGGTCTCACCCAGGCCAAAAGGGTACTCCACCCATGCCATAAACCATGGCTTACCACACACAAGCAAACTGCCCCCACTTTGCTCCTCCTTGATCTTTCCCATTTTTACTGGGAGCAGACAAAGCACGATCCCTGGCCTAGCATTGCATTCTAACTAAGGATTGTGGCTTGTTTTGCTCCAATAACCACAGTTGGTTAAGCCACGAACAAACCTTGCCTGAGGTTGTGGTATGTTGGGAGCGAAACAAACCATGATCCCTCGTTCAGACATAACACAAAATCAGGGATTGTGATTTGTTTCCTCCCAGTGATTACCAGTATTTATTTATTCATGCATGCATGCATGCATGCATACATACATACATACGTAAGGGACGTGGGTGGCGCTGTGGGTTAAACCACAGAGCCTAGGGCTTGCCGATCAGAAGGTCAGCAGTTCGAATCCCTGCGACAGGGTGAGCTCCCGTTGCTCGGTCCCTGCTCCTGCCAACCTAGCAGTTCAAAAGCACGTCAAAGTGCAAGTAGATAAATAGGTACCACTCTGGCAGGAAGGTAAACTGTGTTTCCATGCGCTGCTCTGGTTCACCAGAAGCAGCTTAGTCATGCTGGCCACATGACCTGGAAGCTGAACGCCGGCTCCCTCGGCCAGTAAAGCGAGATGAGCACCACAACCCCAGAGTTGTCTGTGACTGGACCTGATGGTCAGGGGTCCCTTTACCTTTACATACATACATACGTACGTACGTACGTACATACATACATACATACCCTGCCCATCTGGCTGGGTTTCCCCAGCCACTCTGGGTGCCTCCCAATAGAATATTAAAAACACGATAAAACATCAAACATTAAAAACTTCCCTAAACAGGGTTCCCTTCAGATGTCTTCTAAAAGTCAAGTAGTTGTTTATTTCCTTGACATCTGTTGGGGGGGGTCCACAGGGCAGGCGCCACCACCGAGAAGGCCCTCTGCCTGGTTCCCTGTAACCTCACTTCTCGCAGTGAGGGAACTGCCAGAAGGCCCTCAGAGCTGGACCTCAGGCTGAACAATGGCGGTGGAGACGCTCCTTGATTATTGGTTGATTATTTAATTTCTATAAAGTACTGCTTAAAATATTAAATATATATTGAAGTGGTGTACAGGAAACAACAGACAACTTAAAGTATTACAAATTACACAGTTACAGATAAAAATTATATTAATACAAACTTACTAATATATTGAAATCAATATCAATTCCTTTGCCTTCTGACACACCCTCTTTCTCAGCCTCTGGGTCTGGGTTCTGTTCCAGCCTCCAAACAAACTCAGTTGACCCACAGAAGTCTCACAGTGAGAAGAGTTCCTAGAAACAGTGAACATCACCCTAGCCCATGGGTAAGCAAACTAAGGCCCAGGGACCGGATCCAGCCCAATCGCCTTCTAAATCCGGCCTGCGGACGGTCTGGGAATCAGCGTGTTTTTGAGTAGAATGTTCCCTTTTATTTAAAATGCATCTCTGGGTTATTTGTGGGGCATAGAAATTCGTTCATATTTTCCCCCCAAAATATAGTCCAGCCCCCCACAAGGTCTGAGGGACAGTGGACCGGCCCCCTGCTGAAAATGTTTGCTGACCCCTGCCCTAGCATCTCACTCTAGTCTTGCTTTTTTAGGCTCAAGGTGCATGGCACTTCCTCAGGCTGCCCACAGCTGTTTCCCTTTCAGCTGCACTCTCTGCACCCAGTTCCAGGTGCAGCAGGATTGTTGAATTTCCAAGGGGGGGGGCAAAGGATGGAGAAAAGGCCCCTCTCCACTCACAGCTCTTTCTTCACCCTCTTCTCCTCTTCCCCCTGTTTAAGCAGGGAGCAGCAATGAGGACCAATGCAGGCACAATTTCCTTGTGCAGAATAAGTCATCGTTTATAGCTTACCATAGCTGGTGGGCAGTCGAACTGCCATTCTCCTGTGGCAACAATTTTCTTCAATCTCTGTGGAGCTTGCAGACTTTTTTCTTCTCTACCAACCTCAGCTTTTATTAAAAATTTGCCTGTGACTAAATTCTTCCTGTCTGAAACCTAGCTTTACCAGTCTAGGGTTTTACCAAGATTTAGATTATATGAATAATAGAATCCCTCAATAACTCGCTAAGTCACTCTTCATATTTTATCCCACCATCTTCAGGTCAGGTACAGTTGCAGTTCAGACACTAGGGAGGATGCCCACAGAAGGTGGAATGAACACTTTTCATATTATTATAATGTACAAGCAGGAACCAACTCACTGGGTAATTTAAAGCAATGAAAGAAAAACAAAGCAAATACAGGAACTCTCAGGCTTGTGGTAACCCAAACCTTTGTGGAAAAACTTTTTCACTTTCTTCAAAACCAGTTATGAATATCAGCAAATGGGACTTCTGCTTTTGAGGTAAATTTGCTGGATTTAGGTGCAGCATGCTTAGACAACCCTTTTACAATTAAAAGAAAAAACAAAGAACTTCTACCCTCTCTGTCTCTCTTGTACAAAATGTGCATGTTTAGACACTTTAAATAGCAGTCAACCATTTATTAGAGTATATCCATTGAAATGAATGAAGATGACCAAGTTAGGTCCATTAATTTGAGTGTCAGCTCTGACTGAAACTTAATCACCAATGGTCTCAAATATATGAAGATAAAACTAGGACAATGATTCCACCCCCAATTATTTTTACATGGGAAAAAGAACACCCCAAAACACATTTTTTTTGCTGTGCTGCCCTACAAAAACAAATTGTCTGGGGCTGACACTATCTTAAACAGCAGCACATGCTCAATATTTCTAGGAGCTTACTACCCAGTAATTTGATACATTCAGCTATCGCGATAACAATGAGAGTGTGGATTTATTTGCCCATAAAATACCGATATTACAAGGCTGCCTTGTGCCTGTCTACTTAGAGAAAAGACCCACTGAGTCTAGTTGTGCTCATGCCAAGTGTGCACAGGACTGCAGTCTTAGAAGCACAGGATTTTAAAAAATATATATACATAAAAACTCATACGGCAGAACCAGCAATGACTCAGAAACAAAGGCTTCACGTACATCTCAACACACCTCAGATCTGTAGCTCAAGCCGGATCCATGGAAAGAAAAGACAGCAAACTGTTGGGAAGAAGAGTTACAAGACAGAGTGCAAGTTTGTACAGACAGCCTTTGCAGGGACCAGATATTCTGGGTGTGACACTTCAAAACAGTTCCATAGCCTCAAGCATAAAACGTGCCTCTATCGTTAGTTCTCCTTAACAATGCAGAGAGCATGTTACTGCCACTTACCACAGCAAGCAGGTCTTTCGCTGAGCAACAGAAATAAAGGCAACATAAAGTTGTGTTTCTGCATGTTGACGTCCCTGTGATCAGGTATGAAGTTTGTTTCATTCTCCCTTAGCTGTACAGAACATGTACATTTCCTGTTTCCTGCCTCTGTGGTTGGATGTGTAAGATGCCTTAAGGAGATGCACTATGTCTGATTGCTCGTAGGAAGTGATGCAATTTAGTTTGGGCCTGTCAAATGAGCAACGATTGCTGATTCAGCTAAAGAAACCACCAGGAAAATCCACGTGTGAGAATCTCGCAATCCTCTCTTGTTTTCAAGATCTGACAGTCTCTTTCCCACCCAGACAAGAATGCCTCAAATATATCTAGTTCAGTGATGAAGTACATGCCTGGCATGCAAAAAAGGTTGGATCCTTATCATCTCTAGGTAGGGCTGGGAAATACTCCTGTCTGAAATCCTCAGTTGCCACTGCTAGTCACTGTGAGTTTGATAGAGCAACAGTCTGACTTGCTATAAGGTGGCTTCTTATATTGCTTTTAAAAATGAAAGTTTGCTTCTCAAACTATCTGATGTGGTGGACCAGAAATTCTTCACACACACAGTGTGCCAGGGACTGGTACCCAGGGTCAGCCCACCCATGGGGGGGTGAAGCACCTGCCTCGGGTGGCAGCCCCCCCCCAAGTTGGTACCACTGCAGACACCCTGTCTATACCACCACTTCTTCACCAGCAGGATCTCACTGGAATCTCACGATATCTTACCAGAACTCACCATTGTTGCTGCTTCACGGGCGCTGCCACCAGACCCAGATAAGGGAAGTTTTGGCAATTGGGCTGCGCCTTCCCATTTTGCTTCAAGCAGTGAAATGGGACAGGCTGCTCCTGACAGGACTATATTTTTTCCATGTACCAAATGGGACTTTTAAAAAAATTGCAGAAAGCTTTACACGCTACCCCAATCTCTGAGCAGGGCGAGATTCCAGAGGTTCCAGGCACTTACCCAGGATTTGTGTTTCCTTTGGAAAGAGGCACAGCTTTATGTCTTTATGATATATGGCTTACTTACACATCAATACCACCTGAGCCTACTGTGGAGGGGTTCCCAGTATTACACTCCAAGAGGGTCTCTTGCTTCTCCCATAGGCACAGTGAACTTGGATCCAGCAGAGAAATCAGCCATGCCCTCTGTCTCCTTTTTACAGCCTATCATAGTTTTTTCTAGCACATCACTGCCAACTACCATTCTAAAAACTAGCCTTTTGTCTCCTGCTAACTAACTCTCTGGGACGCGGGTGGCGCTGTGGGCTAAACCACAGAGCCTAGGACTTCCCGATCAGAAGGTCGGTGGTTCGAATCCCCGCGACAGGGTGAGCTCCCGTTGCTCGGTCCCTGCTCCTGCCCACCTAGCAGTTCAAAAGCACGTCAAAGTGCAAGTAGATAAATAGGTACCGCTCTGGTGGGAAGGTAAACGGCGTTTCCGTACACTGCTCTGGTTTGCCAGAAGAGGCTTAGTCATGCTGGCCACATGACCCGGAAGCTGTACGCCGGCTCCCTCGGCAAATAAAGCGAGATGAGCATCGCAACCCCAGAGTCGGCCACAACTGGACCTAATGGTCAGGGGTCCCTTTACCTAACTACCTCTCTACAGGAAGGAGGGGCTCACACCCCTATGCTATTAGTTGCCCATCTCCTTGCCCCTGTTTGGTTAACGATTTGGCCGCCATCAGGCTTTGTTCCCCTAACACAGGGGTAGGCAACCTAAGGCCCATGGGCCACAAGCAGCCCATGGGTGTCGTTTAACTGGCCCATGAGCCGACCCTGAACCGAGCTGCCTGCTTGGCGAGTCCCCACATTCTGTGCTAAACCGGTGCAGCGTGGTGCGGGGACTTGGTTCCGCGGCATCGGAAACTGCAGACGCAGACACCAGAAATCATGGGTGCACGCGCTCACGTGCTCGCGCAATCCAGCCCACAGAGGGATCTCTACTGGAGTGAACCAGCCCAGATGAGGTAAGCCTTGCCGACCTCTGCCCTAACAACTCTCACTCAGCAAGCCATCATCAGGTTGGCCTGGTTAGTACAGTGGTGCTTCGGGTTACATACGCTTCAGGTTACCGCTAACCCAGAAATAGTACCTCGGGTTAAGAACTTTGCTTCAGGATGAGAACAGAAATCGTGCTCCAGCAGTGCAGCAGCAGGAGGAGGCCCCATTAGCTAAAGTGGTGCTTCAGGTTAAGAACAGTTTCAGGTTAAGTACGGACCTCCGGAACGAATTAAGTACTTAACCCAAGGTACCACTGTATCTCTAACATAAGCTGTTGGGCACAGTTTAATTCCCCCAAACCTTGATTAGTTCTCACTATTATTGGACCCAGAAACTTAGAATGTCTGACACCCCACAAACTCATAACACTATTTTTGTAGACATATAAAAAGTTCTGGGAAGGTTGAAAGCTCGTACACTGTTTTGTCCCAAAGCAGCACAGAAAACCTGTGACGCATGTGAGTTATGTTTCATAAGCTCAGTGGCAGAGATCACAAGCTCCACTTTCTAAAATTCCCAGGTTCAAGCCCACATATCTCCAGAAAGCATTGAGAAAGACTCATGTCTGAAACCTTGAAAAACCTCTGTCAGGCTGAGCAATACCTCTATGATAGGGTTGCCATATTTCAAAAATTTTGGACACTGCTTCAGACTGCAATATTCCGGTTATGTCCAGGAAATTCCAGACGTATCACACCCCTAGCTATGATTCTATGATTCTACAAGTTCTGTCTCGATATGAGGCATCTTCCTACGATCATCTCCCCTTTCACATCAGAAATAGAAAAAAAACAGACCCACATCCTTGCATACAAATAGATAGTACTGTTTGTGCATAATCCTGAGGAGTGTTCCAACACAAAAGTGCATAGTGTTTTGAACATTTTGTACAATGTCAAAAGGCAGAGCCGTTTTTAACATATCCCATGTGCTTGTCAGACTCATCCTCATTCAGCAAAAATAGGTGATGAGAAACTATTCTTTGTGGCAGTATCGTCTCCAGGGGAGTACTTGTGGGCAATTGCGTGATGATCCATATTGATTTAACAAGCTGTGCCGGCCTTAGACATTTTCACACCCTGCTCTTTTATTTTTTTTAATGACACAGGGAGGGAGAAAGAAAAAGAGGGCGGGAAATTGTGCTGCCTAGAAAGCGGCTGTGCACCAAGATTGCTGCAGCTCCCTTTATGTAAGGCCTGCCCTATTAGTTAGGAAACGCAGAGGGGGAAACTGCTACGACCACTAGGCACCTCCTGGCACATCAAGTTGCTTCTTCAGAAAGAGAATGCAAACAATGAAGATGCTGGTTTTTACAATGGATAATTACCAGTCGTTGAAAATGTTACGGTGGATAAAGGATTATCTCTATAACTTCCTTTTTATTGCATTGACATACAATTCAGAATACAGTTCATATCCACTGAAAAGGGCAGGATGAAATTTTTAAAAATGCTCATCCTATTATCAGTGTTCGGAGTATTTTAGATGGTAACCCACGCTACTGGACGCTAGTTCCCTCCCCTACCAGCCCCAAACCAATTAACACTTTTAAAAAAAATTTTTAAAAGAAATTTTCAGGGTGTAAATAATTGGCAGTTTTTCCATCCTGGATGTTTTCCTTGTGCATAGTGGGGGAGAATGGAGTCGAGAGATTTGGATTCACACACACACACACTGGTGCACACACACACAGGTGCACAGACACATTCAAAACTGAGATTACAGATTATAGAAGAGTTTGGATTTGATATTCCGCTTTATCACTACCCTAAGGAGTCTCAAAGTGGCTAACAATCTCCTTTCCCTTCCTCCCCCACAGCAAACACTCTGTGAGGTGAGTGAAGCTGAGAGACTTCAGAGAAGTCTGACTAGCCCAAGGTCACCCAGCAGCTGCGTGTGGAGGAGCGGAGAGGCGAACCCGGTTCACCAGATTACGAGTCTACCGCTCTTAACCACTACACCACACTGGCTATAGTCTTCATTCTTTCATTCACTTACAATCCATCTTTCCTCCAATGACTCAAAGCAGCCTGCATGGTTCTCCCCTTCTACCCTGTTATTCTCACAGCAGCTCTGTAAAATAGATAAGACTGAATGGCTGATACAGAGCCAATGCTGAGCTTCATGGCCGAATGGAGATTTGAACCCATGCCTCCTTAGTCCTACTACAATGTTGCATTGTGTGAGTTTGTGGTGCTGCAGTATTATTATTATTGAAAAATAAAATACACCCTAACTTCTCACTGTGAAATCACAGCTGTTATGTAGAATTTATTTATCCAGTTCACAGTTACAAGGAAGCAAGTAATGTTAGGAGCCATTCATACAATACATTTAGACTCACAGTCACACATGAAAACTAATCTCAAGAGCTGTTTATGTCGTTTTGCCCTCCAACAGTGCCAGACAGATCCTCGGTTATCAGAGCATGAAGCACAAATGCACAGTGTACACATCAGACACACCCTCGGTCTGAATCAGAATTTGCTGGCTGACAAAGGGAGAGCAAGTACGTGCATTCTGGGGAGCCTTGTTCTGTGATTGGTAGGAGCCCAGGAGGTGGCTAATATGTCTTGGCTCAGTCTGCTGCAGCAATTAATCTTTCTTAAAAACATGGCTGCTTTTATAGGTCATCAGTTACAGTTTCTCAGCTATTATCTCTGAGAAATAGGTCAATGATTCATTTACTGGCCAGCTTGTTAATGGGTTTACAATGCTAGTATTAATCTGCTGGCTAGCGATGGAGCCAGTTGTTGGTTTGTTTATTAGTGGCTGTGTGTTTTGGAGTGCTCTACTTAACAGTTATCAAAACACAAAAACAAGGAGCCTAGCTGGATGGAAATGTAGGAGGCGGAACTGAAAGTACTAAAGAAGGGATCAAGGTTTGCTGCCAAAGTCACATCTAACAAACCAATCTTCCCAGACGGTAGCCAATTTAAGCCGATAACCTCACACTTTCTCCAGGATACGAATAACGAAGAAAGTAGGAATTTGGCCGGAGGTTAATCTCAGCCTGGCTTCACCAGATCTGCTTTCCAGCACTTGTTATGGGGATCAACTCTGGAATATAGTATGATTATGATTAGATTTCTTACCTACCCTTCACCATGAGGTCCTAGGGTGGGCCACAACCATTTAA